AAAGGAAAGGAAAGGAAAGGAAAGGAAAGGAAAGGAAAGGAAAGGAAAGGAAAGGAAAGGAAAGGAAAGGAAAGGAAAGGAAAGGAAAGGAAAGGGAAAGGAAAGGAAAGGGAAAGGAAAAGGAAAGGAGGAAGGCAGACAATGACGATTCCCGGAGCTGTGCCTCCCCCCGACACGGCCGAAAGCACCGAGCTCCGCGGGAGCCGCATCTCTCTCCAGCCTTCGTCGATTTTCCCTTCCCCATCCCWCTCTGCGAAAGGCGCCGACTCACCGATATTGCCCTCCACGGCGACCTTCTTGAGGCGTCCTTCGGCCCTGCTGCGCTTGGGCGGGGTGGCCATGGCGGCCTGAGGGGAGGCGAGGGCTCCTGAGGGGGAGCGCGACCCGTCTGAGGGGGCCGGGAGGGGCGGGAGGGAGGCGCGCCTGAGGGGGCGCGCGACACACCTGAGGGGGCGCGAGGAGGCGCGCGGGGGCGCCTGAGGGGGCACGAGGGGGCGCGAGGGGGCGCGAGACCCGTCTGAGGGGGCGCGCGAGGGGACGCCTGAGGGGGCGCGAGCCCAGCCCCGCGCGCGCCGGCTTCGAATTTGGCGCGCGACCGCGGCGGGCCCACCCGAGCGGCGGCTGACGTCACCGGCTCGCGCCGCGGCCCGTCCCGCCTCAGGCCASAGCAGCCGCACGCGGAGCGCATCGAGCCGCTCCCCGGCCCTCAGCGCCGCCCCGCGGGACAAAGGGAACGCGGACAGGAGTTAAMGCGTTAAAAATTCCTCCGGGAATTGCCGCTGGAAAGAGGTCAGCAGCACTTGAATTTAGAGCGCTGTCATTGGAAATAGGAGTTCTTAACTTTAGGAAGGGCTGGTTTTTGTTTAGGCTGGAATATTTTGCTTCAGGAAGGAATTGTTCCCTGTGAGGGGGGGACAGGCCCTGGCACAGGGTGCCCTGAGGAGCTGTGGGTGCCCCTGGATCCCTGGAARTRTCCAAAGCCAGGMTGGACATTGGGGACACCCTGGGACAGTGAAAGGTGTCCCTGTCCATTTATAGGATGGGCTTAAAGGTTCCTTCCAAACCAAACCATCGTGGGATTCTACAAACCCCTAAAACCTCCCAAACACACCAAATCCAAACAGAATCAAATTTAAAAGGGAAAAATCCTGAGCCACAGGAAATGGGCACCAGCAGCAAGACATTTGTGAGCCCAGATTTGTATTAAAAAATTGAAAAAAAAAAAAAAAAGCTAGGTTTTTAACCACGTTTTCCCAAAATTCCCTCGAGCCATGTGTGTGAGGGACTTACCCACAGGACGGGGCACTTCAGAAAACTGCAGGAAATCTGGAKTGCTCCAGCTGTCGGGGTCACAGGAGGCTTTTGGGAGAAAAAAAATAAAACAAAAAAAAGGCACCTGTGCCACTGGGCAGAGCCAAAAGCAGAGGCTGCACCTGAGGGCTGCTGGTGAGCCAAGAACACCCTTGGGTGTTTACAAAACCCAAAACACCTTAAACACCCTTGGGTGTTTACAAAACACAGGGGGAAAAAATCTATTTACAAATAGGAAATGGCTGAGGAACAAGTTCAAGAAAGAAATAAAGACAGTCATGGTCAAACATAGCTATTTATTTTCTCTCATAAACAGCTTTCAGTTTCTTATTGAAAAAAAAAAACAAAAAAAACCCTAGGATTTAAATATTCTGTCCCATCACATACAACCATCTGTATACATTATTTACAACTCTCAAATAAACACGGTGCGGATTTTCAGACATTCAACTTATTCTGTTTGAATCAAAAGCTGTTTTTGTTTAAAACTGAAATCTCCATCAGTGACTACAAACTGAAGCRGCATTGGCACAGTTAGCTCACAGTAAGGGTTCTCTCCTTGCATTTTATACTTTACACTGTGTTTTCTCCCATATATTTCAGGGTTCTAAAGGAGGAGGAAAGGTTAGTGTCGCTTTTGGTATTTTTTTTTCCCTTCAAAAACAGCCTTTTACTGAAATCTCATTCATTTTTATTGACACCTCGTTCATTTTTATTGGATCCTTCTCCCTCTCTGAGGGCACATCAAGGCATGTGCCTCTACACCACACAACCACAGCATTCCCAAGCAGTCAAACAGCCATGAAAATAAGTGTTCCCTCTGCGACACGGCTCCGAAAAATGTCCCCAAGTTGCAAACGTACAAAAATAATGAGTATAGTTTAGTGGCTATAAAAAATTAATCTCCCCTAAAAATACAATATTCTATGAACAATTTGGGGAATTCGGTTCCTCCAACAAAATAAGGTAATTGGATATTTCCCTAGGCTGCAAACTGAACCTGGCAATAGGAAACCATAAGGAAAGCGGGGAAAATAACAAGGTTTAACACTGAAAATCACCAATGTTAGTCTCATGTTAAAAGAGAAGACCAGGGAAAGACGATGGGCATCCATGAAACTGCCAGTGGTTTTAGGAGTGAGGGATTGCAAAAGAGACAATCGCTACCAGCAGTGAAGGAAACGAGATTCAAAGGAAAAATTTAACGGGGAAAAAAGCAATCTCTTTTCGTGCTGCAGCTCCTTAAATAATCCAACTAAAAGGGGGGTTATGTACAGTAACAGCACTCTGGCAGGTAGGAAGGGAGGAGAGAGCAGCAAGGAATAAAACAACTATCCAAAAAGGATGTGTTTATAGTAAAATTAAGTCTGGTGACCCAGAAGAAAAGAAGTGGGGGCAAGAAACAGCAAGGAAGAATGTGAAAGGTGAAGTCGAGTCCATAGCAGCAATAGGTGTCCTTACCTGTTAACTGAGGGACACTGCCAGAGGGGGCAGTTCCTAAGGACTGAGGAAGGACAGTGCTCCTCTATCTCCAAGGAAAAGCACAAGTTCAAAGCTCTACATTGCATAGTAAGCAGGAGAAGAAACTGGATACTTGCAGATGGGCTGCTGCCCTCGGAACCTGTGTGCTCCCCTCAGCCACCTGCACCAGCACCACCACCAGCACTGCTTTCGGGGTTTTCTCTTTGCATAACTTGGATCCCTGACTGGAAACACTTGGACAGCACATCCCACACCATCCATCCATCCCCCTGAGCTCCAGCACTCAGCCCTCTGCCCAGCCCAGCTCAAGGGAGGTGCCCTCCTCAAGCTGCCACCCAAATCCCTGCCAAGATCCTACAATTCAGGGCCCTGTCAGACTGGAAGGCTGAGGCAGCACTGGAAGCACAGCCTGGTTTAACCCCACTGGCACATTCTGCTCCCCATCACCAAAGCTGGAAGGTTTTGTCTCCGAGCACTTGTCACCCCTCAAAGTCCTGGAGCAGCGCAGGGTTTGCTTCTCTGGGGTTTATTTGGGGGGCCAGGGGGTGTCCCCTGCTTTCCCTCCCATTAATGCACTATTTTATCAACACATTCACTCAACCCAGATTCCATTTGTGGCGACTTTTGAGTGGCATTTCATGTGCCCTTACTTCCAGAGTGTAAACACATGTCAGCTTCTGGTCCCACAGCTTTCAGAAGGAAAAACAACAATGAAAAGCTGCAAAAAGAAACAGCACGGGGATCCCAAGTCCCCACCACTGCAAACACGTCCTCAATGATGTTATTTTCAAGTGTTGTGTAATTAAACAATGTGTTCATACAACTGTCAGGCAAATCATGATCTCCAAGCTTTTATTACGTGCCTAGAAACTATTCGGTCAAAGACTTTCTACTGCTAGATATTGAATTAAAAAAATACCCTATCCACCTAGGACTCTTTTTTATACTCAACACATTCCAATTCTCATTGGCTGAACTGCAGCAGATGCCTCTGGATTTCTAGAAATGGCTATTAAAAAGAAAAAACCTGCAACAAGCAGAGAACAAAGCCCTCCCAGGGCAGAACAGTGCCAGCAACGTGAACCACTGCACTGCTATCTCCAAGCACATCCTCACTTGTACACATTTATCTTTTTTACTTCTTGCTGGTACACACCACCAMACCAAAGAGTCATCCTGCAATTCCATGGGGGCTATCACCTGTTSAGCACCTCGGAGCTCCTGCCTTGCTCACTCTGTGTCTAAACTGTGCAGTTGGAATTTGGGAGATGGGTGGCTTTTGCACTCTCAGGTGGCACAGGGAAAGCCAGGAGATGAGGATCCCTCACCTGAACCCACAGCTCCCACAAATCATTTCTCAGATGTYACCAGCTCACTCACCTCTTTTGCTCCTGCATGGCACTTCCCTCATTACTCAGGGTTTTGGCCAAGCCAAGGCACACAGAATAGAAGCCCAACTTCTCTGTCRTGTGCTCACCCTGGCTTCATCTGCTCCTGTTGCATTTCCCARCAGCTGGAGTTCCTTGAGATGAGCAGTGATTTTAAAAGAGGAACAACATCATCATAATAACACAACTCCAGAGCAGTCCATGAAATTATCTTCACTCAAACAGCCAACACTGGCCACCAGAGCTCCTCCTCGGAGCCAGGCTTTGCATTCCTAACTTAAAAACACCTTTCCACTCGTTATTTTTCAAGCCAGGTTTTCCTTACTATTATTATTATTACTATTATCCCAGTGCAATTTTTTCTAGGGAATATTTTCCCTAACTGTATTTGTGCAAACTAACTGTTCATTTGGCAACTGCTAGGGGAACTTAACAAGCTGACTGACCCAACTGATGCTTTCCTGCTAAGAAAATAAAAGCAACTATGCAAAATCCCATGGCAGCAGACATGGAACTAATTGCTAAGCACAAGGTTTGTGTAGTTTTGACACCACCTTTGCTGTTTYGCTTTAGCGATGAGAACTTCGCTTTTCTTTGTAAGAAATAATCTAGTTTTGAAAAATTCTATATTCATCTTAAAAAAATAAGACAAGTATTTGTATTAAAAGCTGGAGATCATTGATTTCAGCAAGTTATGGCTTTTTTTTTTTTTTAGTGAAAGCATAGATACATATTTTTAAAACAAGTATCAGTAAGTGTCTGGGTGTTAGTACATATTTTCTGTTTCCAGCAATGTTCAGTATTGTATGTGCTTTGCACCTCAGAAGTGAGTCTGCCAAGGCACTTAGAGAATGTAAGCAAGTCTTCCAGGGACTTGATGAGAATGGGCTACCACTGACACAACACAAGAACCCATCCACCAGCAGTCAATCCCCCAACCAAGCACGTTTCCTTTATGAACACTCAGCACCTGCTAGAAATTCCACAATGGATAACAACAATAAAAAAAAAAAAAAAAAAAAAAAAAAAAAGCTATTTACCACATGTCACTAAGAGAGAAAAGATTTCCCCTAATAAAAGCACAGAAATTAGATTTCAGCTGTCACTGGTAACAGCACAGGGGGGTTGTTTAAAAAAAAATAACAATTTAACAAAAAACAAATACCACACGCTTGCTTAAAGAAACAAGTGATTTCAAGAAGTCCTCTTCCTTTTATCTGTCCTTCGAGGTGAGTTTTTCAATCAGTTCTTGAAGTGGTGCAAGTTCTCTTCTATCAATAAGGTTGAATTCCTGTAACGGGGATGAGAAAGACAMACACACAGAGTTTTGTAAGAGCAGCTCAGGTGAGAAGCCTTATTCAGCCAGAATTTTATTGGGCAGCAGGCTCTCCATGTCCAGGCTTGGCCACTACAGCCTCCCCTGCAGAGAACTGCAGAAGATGCTGACTTTTTCCACAAGGTAAAGGGGGTAATGTAGCTTTGAAGTGAGCACAGTATTGGCCATGTTCTTACCTGAACAAAAAATATAAAGTGCTTGAAAGAAGTATTAAGGTGTGCCTCTTCCTGCAGCTGGATCACCGGGTCAAAGTGCTGGTGGTAGATGTGAGCGTAAACTCTGAACAGACGCTTGAGAATTGTCTTGGCCACTGACATGAAATTCTTTGGGAATGGTACGCCTGGAAAGAGGAAAAGAGATGCTTTATTCTTCAACTCACAGGCCATGTTTGTCTGTTTTGAAAGCCACTACAATCCTGGACAAGTGAAATSAGGTCCAACAGCAGACCTTTGTCACTGCACGGGTTTTATTAAAATTGTTCAGGAAACGGCAGCTGGCTGCTGGGAGCAATGGACTCTTTAGTTAGCACTTCCCCAGGCTAAAAAAAGATATTTATCAACCCTCTGAAAGGAGCAAACCTGTCTAGCTTCTCCTCACCTACCAGTCTACCCAGCCAGCTTAGCTCTTTCCAAGTGCTCCAGTCCTGTCTGAAGGCCAGAGGCCCAGGCAGACCTCACCARTGCTTTCAGAACCCACCAATAATGKSTTCATGCTGCTGTTCCAGTCTGCCCTGCCCAAWTGTTCATCACAGCAAATTTAAATTTAGCTGGTTAGTTTGTGGTCTCTGAATCTCTCTCTGAAGGCACAGTTTCTCTGAAGAAACTTWATGAAAATGTGTCAACAGCTTCAGAAACCATCCCCAAAATTACAGCAATTAAGAGATTTCCCGTTATCTTTTCCAAACTGTTGGTGGGTCATTACCTCCTGCCTGTTTTTCTGAAAAAAAAACCTCTTTGAAACATCTATTTGTCATCTTCAYTTGAAAAGAAACAAACAAAAAATATTAAGATTAAAGCTGCAATTCAGCTTCTTTGGAGATAAGGCCTGAAAGCTCCTCATGACACCCACATATCTATTCTGTGACAAAAAGCTGTCCGTTACTCCGTTACTGGTTATAAGGGTCTGAGACCCTCTGCTTTATTTCTAAAGAAACAAATCACTGTTCAAATCAAACATCAGATGGATGAACAGAGGCAGTTATTAGACAGAAATGGTATTTCCTRCATCCAGAATTGTGACAGGTGTTTATGAGGAGCATTAATACACAGATCAGAGTTCRCGTATTATGACATATCTTAAAAGATAAGTGTGTTCAGATAATGTAACTTTTTCAACCTGCCCTACACATCACTAAGGAGCCCTTTGGATGCTCAGGGGCTGCAGTGTTCCTGGACAATCACAATCCAAGCAGTGCTCAGCCTCAGTGCCTCATGTTACCTATTTTAGAAGGAAATAGCGTTTCRTCATCCAGCTGGTCCTGGACCCACGTCATCAGGTAATCGATGTACTTTGGTGCAGAGCACTTGATGGGTTTCTTGATGTTGGTGCCATCTGCCCAGTGGTACTCGTACCTGGGGTGGAACAGGGATGGAACACCAGTGAATCACTGCTGATAGCCTGGCAGGCTGCTCATCCTGCTCCACTGCCCATGCTCCCACACCCTCCCGTGCCCTTCCCTGGATAACCAAGCTCTGAGTGCTCCTGTCAGCACTGCCTGCTCCTCACCCACAGCAATTCTGCTCTACCTTCCCAAACCTCAGCCACGCTGCCAGACATACACAGCACACCCCTCAAATGGAGGCAATTCTTTGCATTCGAAAATATCCTTATAAAGATTGCAGAGCTCAAGGCCAAACTGTGTTTTGGATAGATAGATTCCCAGGAATGTGATTACAAAATTGGAAACTGATATGAAATGCCTTTAAGCTCAAAGAAGAGTTTTGGAGCAGCCTGGTCTGGTGGAWGGTGTCCCTGCCCATCTTGCAACAAGATGAGCCTTAAGGTCCYTTCCAACCCCAATCAGTCTGGGACTCTGATTCTATGGTTAGGAAAACTTCTAGACTATGTWCACAACCAGACAGAAACAAATCCTCGTGAAATCCAGAAAGCAACAGATATTTTGCCTGGGATATTCTTGGGACATGCTCTTGACAGCAGTSCAGATGGTGGATAATCTTGGAAATATATTGTTTAAAAACSCCCACCACACCTAACACAGCAGCTCCCAAGAGAAGAACAGGGTTTGTATGTAACCGATCACACACGTGGTTTTATGCAAAGCTTAACTGCATCTGATAAATCTGTCTTCTYGTTTTGTTTAACAAATTCAGTTTTGTCACAACAGCTACTGGGAGAACATTTTCACCAGAAACAAATTTGATGAGGGATAACGAAGGTGCTGCTCACAATGGGATTAAAAAAGATCCCATTTTTCTAACAGCAACAAATCAGAGGGTTTGAAAGCATTTTTAAATTGTATCTAAAAACACATGCAAAAATCCCAGACACACCATATGGACCTAATGTGTCTGGATTTATGAAAAATCAGGATTTCTCACCACCCAGTACTGCCCTAATACCAAGATCTAAGTGGTAATCATGTGGGACAAATATCAACAATTAACTGAGGTGCCAGGATCAGTCTGGAGMCAGAGCAAAACAATTTGAGAGCAGGAAAAAGCACAAACACTGGCTGTCTCTACAAAAGCATAAACAAGAATCCAAGAGGTAAAGGGCACAGGGCAGGGGATTCTTACTCAAACTCTGATATCTCTGCAATACCTACAACAAAAATTTTGGTAAGCCCTGATGGAATGACTGCATGTAGAAACTTTAAATCTTAATAAAAAACCCTCATTAACGTTTCAAAAAAAAGGGGGGAGGGTTAAATAATTTTGATACTCAGCTGACATCCCAGGTTAAAGGAAAAAAATAAACAAACACTAAAGAAATATAAACACAATAAAACCCCAACTTTCTATTACCCTTAACAGAAGTTCAAATCCTTCTTTCGTTTCACATCCTTTCCACACAACTCTTGCACTCAACTCTGCTACTGTCGAGTTTTTTAATGAAAAAATCACCTCAGAAACTGCAGCCAGTCAACAGTGAGTAAAAACACGCTCTTACTTTGGGCCAGCAGACATCACAGGGCAGCTCTCTTCCGTGCAGAAATCCGTGATGGTTCCATAGAGCATATTGATCTGGTTGAAGAAGTCGACAGCTGAAAAGCATGGAAAGCACCCATTAGCACAAAATTCCTACAGCCCAGACTGCAAAGCAGAGGTTCTGGAATAGTTTTTGGGAAAAAAAAAAAAAACTTAGTTGCTGCTGCTTTTTTAAGATCCATTACAAAGGAGATGCAGAATGCAACACCAACTTTCTGGAACTGCCTGCAGCAAGAACTATTGAATTGTTCACTGCAGCAAAAGCTTCAGTTGGAAGAAAGAAAGAGAAAGCCTTGTTATTTGCTTTTTCAAAGTCTGGTGCATTTTATTAGCATCCCAAATTCTACTGTCAAGTGTGGAATAAAAGAAACATTTTCAGYGTAAACTTTCCAACTAGAGAGAGCAGTTACTTGTTAGGTGACAGTGGCTTCCCTCAGGCTTTGCATTCCAAAGGCCCACCTTTCCCTGGAGCATTTCACAGAATCCCAGACTGCTTTGGGTGGGAAGGGAATTTAAAGCCTATCCAGTTCCAGCYCCCTGCCATGCACAGGGACACCTTTCACTGTCCCAGGTTGTTCCRAGCTCTATCTAAACTTGGCTTGGACACTTCCAGGGATGGGGCAGCTTCTCTGGGCAGCCTGTGCCASRGCCTCACCACCCTCACAGGGAACAATTTCYTCCTAACACCCCATGTAACCCCATTCTTTTAGTTACTCTTTTAGTTAATTATGCCAAACTCTGTGAAAAGCAAGTTCTTTTTCAATAACTAACAGCAGGTCCTGTCATGAGAAACTGCAGTCACTGCAATCCGTTTATAAATATTTATCTGCAGGTATCTTTCAGAGAATGAACAGCCAAGATCAGACACACTTCATGGCAGTAAGTTACAGCAACTGCTCAGCAGATGCAGGACATCAGCCCTCCCTTCTCAAGTGCCCACGAGAGCTGTTAATTAAATTTCCATTCCCTGCTCCCAGCAGAAACCACAGCCCACTGTTTGCTTCCAGGCAGGCATTTTCAGAAAACCCACACAGGCTCTGACAAAATGACTGATTATGGCACGATTGTGACTTCCCACACTTGGAAGTCTCCAAATCCACACGCACATCCCCTCGTTCCCTAAGACACCAGTCAGGCTGAGAGCTGAGCAAGAAGCAGCAGGGTGGAGTGCATTTGTTGTTGTGCTCTTGGGTTGTGAAGGGTACAGTCACACATTTTGTCTCCTCATGAGACCTCTCAGCTGCTGCTGGTGYTCAGTGTGTGCAGGGATGCTCAGGGAAGGGAGCACCATCAGCTCACTCTTTAATTACACAGCTACAATTGCATCACAGCTAATTCAGCAGGTAAGTTATTTGGGGAGGGAGAAACTGCTGCCACACAGSAAAGCAGAGACATGGAGGGAAGAAACCACGAGAAGGGAAGGATRCCAGCAATACATGAAGAGTCTTTAGTAATGCTTACTCACATAAGCAGGCTGGGCTTTTCTCTAGTCAGTTTGGCAATGCAGTGTGAATAAACTTTTGCAAAGGATGGTGTCAGCAATTGCAGCCTGCCCTGGAAGCAGAGACAAGTGGAGCAGCAGAGCACTGCGTGGCTGCTGGGGAACAGGAAGGTGGAAGGCAGCGTGACAGTTTCACTTCCCAAACATGTCAAAGAGTAGAGAGTAAGGCAGAACCACAGAAACCATGAGAGGACGTTTAATTTGAGTGTAATTTCTACTGCAGTGCACAATCAACCCTGCACCACCACTGGAGCACATCAAGCCTGAGAGGCAAAAGATGACGAACACCCAGAGAGGGCACAGAGCTTGTGGCAGCCAAAACTGCACAGGCTACCAAGTGCAATGGAAGAATTCATTCCTCATGCAGGGAAGGCAAACTTCATGCAGCAGGGAGAGGAAGGAGGAGGAAACAAGGTCAAGCAATCAGAAAGTGCTAATTCAGGCATCATTGTTTGGCCTGAAAGTAGAGGGTTTGGACAAACAGCTTTAGAGGAAGTTCAAAGAATGACATCAGAGATTAACCAGAGCAAAGGCTCAAAACTTGGTAGGAACAAAAGGACTTCAAGAAAATTACAAACCACATTAAAATCACAGAATCATTCAGGTTGGAAAGGATGTCTGAGATGATAAAGTCCAACCTGTGGCTGACCCACACCAGTGCATAGTGACAGGCCTAGTTGTTTCCTGGACATCTCCAGGGGTGGGGACTCCACCACCTCCTATGCTTGACAACGTTTTCCATGAAGGATTTCTTCCTGATGTCCAACCTGAACCCTGAGGTTGTTTCCAGTCATCCTGTCCCTTGTTCCCTGGGAGCAGAGCCTGACCCTGAGCTGGTTGCACCCTCCCGTCAGGGAGTTAGAGAATGAGGTCCCCCTGACGCCCCTTCTCCCCAGGAAATAAAAACAGACACACAGTCRTCCTCCTGCAAGTGTCAGCCCATTTCCAACACCCCAAGATGAAGAAAAGGCCAGTGACTCACTGTTAACTGCAACCCATTCATTGAGGTCCTCCCCGTCTGGAAGCATCACCGCCATGCGCAGGTTGCCGCTCCCCAGCGTGGCCTCGGCATGCTTGAGCAGCTCGTACTGATGGGAGCCCTCGGGAATGTTCTTCTTTGGTTTGAAGGTTTTGGAAGAGCGACTACCACTGCAAACAGAGCAGAAATATTTACACACCTTTTGGAACAGAAAATAAAATAGAAACAAGCAAACCAGTCCCACATAAAGACAAAATTAACATTAAATACTTCACCCGCTCTTATATTGTCACGTTGCAACAGGCTATTTCCCAAAAACTGAGATGCTAAAGTAACAGATATTCTGAGCTTTTTTTTGAACTGTTTTCTGACCTAATCACTTTCTTACCTATAATTTTGTTTGAAAAAACATGGAGTGGTTTAGGAAAAACGTTAAGACATTTGAATTTTAAACCATGGCAGTGAGCCTGGATGGCACATGAACCCCTAACATGCCAGAAACATGATGTGTAAAATTAAATATTTGCGGAGAAGTGCCAAATGAGCCAATATTTGTCAGTATTTTCATGTACAAGCTGAGAAAAGACTTCTGTCAGAAAAGGCAAACTGAGCTCTGAATTCCAATGCAAGTGGAAAACTGTGAAACCCAGGCAGCACAACTTTCATAACAAATACTATCCAGATCTCATTTCTTTATATATAGACGTGGCCAATGTTTCACCATCTCTCYAAGGACCAAACAGAATTTTTTGTTGGTGGGGTGCAAGGGTTGTCTCTCCTTAATCCCAGAAGAAATCCTTTACTTTAGGAAGACATTCTCTCCTGTGAGGGTGGTGAGGCACAGGTTGCCCAGGGAAGCTGTGGCTGYCCCATCCCTGGAAGTGTCCAAGGCCAGGGTCAGGTTGGAGGTGGCCCTGCCCATGGGGTTGGAATGTGATGATCTCTAAGCTCCCTTCTCAACACAAACCATCCTGGGATTCTGTGACTCCATTCTATGGCCCCAGAGCAGCTCTGACTCTCCCGAGCTCCAAAGCAGCAGCAGCATCCTCCCCTTCCTGCAGACTTCTGAATTAATCCTGGGTCCTGGCAGCTGGAAAGTAGCACTTGGCTGCACTTCAGGGATCCTGGGATGGTACAGCAGCACTGCCATGAATATTCACATGGACACCCAACCAACTTAACTGACTACTTCACTCAAATCCAATTATTTTCYTTTCAGGAACATAGCCACTTGAGAGGCACTTTGCCAACACAGGGAGTGAAAATGCAACCTAAAACATCTGAAGAGCAGGAGAAACTGGGATCATTATYTTTCCACATGTGTCAGTGCAAGCAGAAGGACACCAGCACAAGCCMAACACAACCTGGAAGAAGGTTATGAAACAACCAACACAAGAAACTTTGTATTTTGTATAGAGCAGAAAGAGTAAGCCCACCAGAGGGACAAGGGTTCAGGAAATACACACAAGGCAAGCATGGTGAAGGAATTCCCTAAACAAGTAGTTATTTCTGAGAAACTCTAGGCAGGAATTGACTGTACCCACCCCAGCTCGTGAGTGTGCTGGAAAACAAACCAAGTCACTGCAGATCTTTCGAATATCCTGCACAGATCCATGGTGAGGGAAGCAGAAAATTCAACACTGGAAAAAGCTTTAGGTATCATTTAATCCCTGCTCTCCCCACCCTTCCAGAAACAAGRGGTTTGTTCCCATAAGCTGTCAAAAACTCTAACAACAGATTGAAYTACTACTCTGAATAAACCATTCCATCTTTGCCTCCAMCACCTTCCTGWTTGCTGCGTCTGAAATGCAGCACARMCACCCTGAGACAGCAGGAAGCGCTCTCACACCAAAGGCAGGCAGACATCCAAAAGGAAAAGTAATTAGGATAAATGCAAGCTGGTAGTCAGCGTGTGCTATGGAAATATCTGCAATTTTGGCAATAAATTATCAGAATTCCATGCATTTATGCAGTTCACTGAAGCCAGTTAACACACACCTAATGCAGCCTCTCTAAGCCAAAAACTTTATAGGAMATGTTTTTTTCTTGGAAAGTCWTGTTATAAATATWGCATTAATAAACATTATTTTAATTRYCTTATTAGTTCAGAAGCTSTCCTATTATTTAACCAAATAAATAACATGTTTTCTTCCTATTATGTTAATCTGTTTCATATAATAGATTTTAAAAATGGTCTTGTCCCTGCTCTATTTCCTCAACTCCTTGAGAAATCAGTGAAAAAAAAGTAACTTTAAAGAGCTCTGCCTGATGGCAAAGGATACACACAATCATCTCRGTCTGGGTCAAGCATGACATTTTATTTTCAGCTATATTCCAAAACATTGGAAGTCTCAAAATCTTAAAGAATTAGCCCTTTCTCGAGGTTTTCAAATGCTCCAAGGTGGCAGGCAGCACCCACCTTTTCCTGTTAAGAGTCTGAGCTGTCCTTCATATAAATGCAGAAGTGACAGGGGACAGAAAAACCAACAAAGATCCCGTTTTCCTTGGACATAAAAAGGCCATGAAATGGGGAACAGAGTGCATCATCCCCACTATTTGCCACAACCAATCCGCAGCCTTTCAAGGAGAACGGACTTCCCAAAAAATTCCTGCGATTCCAAGGACACTCTGCTCCCTTCACTCCCACATCTGGCACAAACGATGCCCTTCTATT